AAGTTCTTATCCAGCGAGAAAGTTTGCTTCTTCATCCCATGCTACCAAACGGAAGAGTACCAAAGGCACCTCTCACGGAACGCTGCAGGCGGATTTATCATAAAAAAGTATCTATTATTATCTATACTTTTCAACACTTTATTGATCCGTCTTCACACTGTTTTTTTTTTCACTGCGCGGCTACCAGTACTTCTAGCATTCATCGTTTTTCGTATTCTTAGTGAACAACTCGAAGAATAGTAGTCGAGCATGTCTCCCTGCAATATCGAGCATGAGGCATTTGATTGCCAAATGGATGACAGTCTTATGCAGCGCAGTTTAGCTCGCGCCATCGCGACGAGCACAACGATCATTCGACCACGACGTGATTTGTTCATCTTCAAATACTTTCAAGTAGGGTAGATAAACACCTGTGTTTAATGGATTTCACTGGGAAACCCATGTATTTTTTCAATCCTTCTTTTATCTGCCCTTCATCGCAATTTACTGTACGGATTTCAACACTTTCATCATTCGCTCTTTCGTTACATTCGCATCGTTTCCTTACTTTACAGAGTCTCCAACACCGAAATATGCTTAAGTGTTAAAAAACATTTTTTTTCCACTGTTACAGTGTAACATAAAGACATCAAAAAATAAAGTAGGCCTTCCGAATTTCCGAGATTTAAGCCATCAAATAGCTATCAAAATGTCTAGGAAGAACGAAAGAGACGTTATTGAACATGGGTGGTTATATGGGAAATACCGTACCATAAGCATGCTGAATGCGCGCTCTTCCCACACTTAGTCGAGCTACATATTGGATTTACCTCCACATAGACTTCTATTAGAAATGTTTAGTTGTAGAAGATGTGCTTCCAAGCTACGTTCTCGCAAAACAGGCGACATACAAATGCACAGTGACGATTGAAAGTTTGCTTATATTTCTTACAACGACGTGATATTACCGTTGAGAAATGAAGGATATAAAGAGAAGTGATCAGACTTTCTGTCAGAAACCTTTATAAAAAGATCAAGAGTAATATTTCATTCTTTATGTGACGAGAAGATACCTATGACTTATGAACTTCACTTGTAATTACCACTAAACCGCCTACGACGTGCAAGCGGCATTTAAAAAGTGTAAATGTGATCTTCTTTTCGCTTTCGCAGCTTTCTTAAATAACCTTCCGAAAAACCACTTACGTTATCAAAATCCTCGTGATTCTGGCTATTTAATAAGTAATAAAACTTCGGTAAAGATCCATATCTAAGCCTCAGCCGAGCAAATGAAGAAATTTGAGTTTCACGAACAATTTTATTTTCACTGCTGAAATGTAACAAATTTATCTAGGGGAAAGCTTTTATGCAGCGAGAAAGGTCTTCAAACATTCGTGTACCTCGGCTCAGTACACGTCGTCCCATAGGAGTTAAGGCCCTGATCGTTTAGAGGTTGTCGAAGATCAATATAGCCGTGTACCACGCAATCAACTCTATTCGTAGGATCGGTGACTTGGGATGATGTTGTCCATTTGTTGCTTTCTTTCTATTGGCAATAAAGCTTGCTCAAAGCAGAAATTGTTTTGATGGAAACTATGTATGCTATACCTAAACATATGCAATTTACGTCTTCAAAATTACCAAAAAAATGTCGTGCAATTTTCTGTTTAACGTTGACAGTCATAGAAGCGACTCCAAACAAATGGCAACTAAATGTTTAGTGTTAAATTTGTGTGATTGCCAAAAAAATCTTTTAGAGCTTCACAGCTACAACCAATTCCAACGCGAGCTATGATTTGTAATCAAAGCGGTATGCCAAAGAAGCTAGTTCAAAATTTACCTATGGAATTACGCTGCTATCAAACGAAGTGAGCATCACTAATGAAAGGTACTCAAAGAAGCAGTTGTGAGAAATTCTGTGGGAGATAGAACGAAAGAGCCTAAACACTTGATACACGGACTGCTACAATACGGAAGTGACACATCGCGGAACTATTTATTCAGTACCATGCGGTGTTCATAAAAATTCGTAACGTATATGATGATTCTACAGCGCCGGCGTTGCTTTTGATCTGACATTTGCGAAACAACAAAAACAGAGCTCCAGCGCTTTGAGTCGGACAACTCTCGTGAACATAATGAAATTCAGACAAGGCCTTCTTTTCTTTGAGAAACTATAATGTCATTCATATACAGACGTAAGAGCGCTTAGTTGCAACCTTTTATCCACATGATTTAACTAGTAGCTATCAAGAGGGTAGTCATTCCTGAACGGTTTAGTCTTAGGTGGATCATTCGAGTGAAAACGTCGAACCTTCCCAACTAGAGTCGATTGCTCACGATTAATTGTTTCCACGCTGTAATTCGCAGTGCGACACCCAAGAACACCTCCCAGCCACGATGAAGCGGAAAACATATTGGAGATATTCTAGCGGTAAACCATACTGAAGGCACTGTTTTTCTTTGACTAAAAACGTGCTAGTTCTTAAGGAGAATTAGGCGAAGCGATAATATCCGTACACAGGGCAGCTTTTTCCTGCTGGCAGAGCAATGAATTTGAATGACGCCACCACACTGACATATCTTCATAATCAGAGATATTTGCAACCTGACGGATAGGAGATCAATCAGCATCCACTGCTTAGTCAACCGAAATATTAAAACCCCATGATATGGAATAAGTCTCAGTGATCACTTGTATCTAGAAAAGAATATTTCGCGTTTTATGAGTAATCGTTTTCAAAACATTCAAAATACGCGATATACTACTGTCGCATGCATAAAATGTCACTTTGTTAGAATGTAAGGCGCAGTCTTGTTTGTATGTGAATCATAGAGAAGCTGCGAGAAGTCGACGACGTTTCATAAGCATCCACTTCACTGGAAATTTGAAAAATAAGAATGTGAGTAGGAAAGTCTTTGGTCAATGACACGCCAGTCGCGTTCCTTAGAACGTCCACTTTGCTCTCCTATCTCACAACATTGCCACTTCCACATACTGTCGGATTTTTGCGTCTTATATAAAGACTTGATGTCTTGAAACAACTGTCTTTTTTTGGGCGGATTCTGACGCGGCTTCTCTCTTATTTTTCATACTAATAGATTCTTGATAACATCTCATTCACTGCCTGTCCTTAATTCTTTAAGTGATATTCTGAGAAATGCTTGTTTTGCGTATCAGTCGGAGCCTCTATCAACAGGAAGTTCTCCTATGTGTATAGGAAGTGAAAGGCTAATGCGAACATCGAAATCTGACAGACGTAATCCCTACATTGTTTCCAAAAACTTCTCTCAGTAAACGCCGCGCTTCATTTTCTTGTCGATTGATGTCTTTCTTTACAGATTCCTCACTCAGAAGTGAATATGTTTTTCTAACGTTTAGTCGACTGTAGATGTTCAACTTTTGGGAAAGCCAAATTTCATGCCGCAACATCTGAAATGAGAAGGCGGGAACCGAATTTGAGCTACGCCTCTCGAAGAATTGGTTCAATCATGAAATTTTTTATTCACTCAGTCTTTTCCATTTAGCTCATTGTCATCCGGCACTTAACAATCATCTATCCTTTTTAGCTGATTTCGTGCCCTTCAAAACAGAAGAATCAATGACAAAACTTTTTTCGAAACAATTTGCTGTGAGTTATACGTATTAAGAACTCTTGAGGCTCCTGAAAAGCCAACGAGGCGTCACGCCGACGTAACTCACTCAGTGCTATTTCAAATTTAATCGACTGATTTGAGACTCGATCAAGAAGTATATAATCTGACATTGTTTTCTGAGCTTTGTATGAGGTTTGTTATGGGCACTGATACGAAACAGGACACGCGTTTCATTCTCCCACCCTCGTCAGTTGCACGGTGCCTTTTGTTCAGTCAGTTCCTTAAGGATAAACCCCTATATAGAGATGGTGACGACGAATTTTTTGAAACCGACATACGGTCAAACAATCGCCGCAGCATTCGTTCAGAGTGATTGATTGTCGATATGCGTATATCTGTGAGCTGGAAGGCCGAAACACGAGTCTTGCACCGAATTAGTACCCATAACAGACCTTATGAAAGGCTCAGAATACATTTTAATATTATACTGCTCTTAACATATTGGGAACCACATGGGTCATATTGACCCATGGTCCGTGTCGTGTGCACCAGGATTTTTACGGCGCAAGCATAAAAACTGGAAAATGGAGGAGGGGGATGTTACTTGGGAGATGAAGTTTCCAAGAAAAAACTATTACTATTCGATGAATAAGTATCACTACAAAGAATTCCGTAGCGATTCTTATGCGTTTTTTGATTGAGAGCCCCTGAAGTGAACACTCGATAACGTCCCAGAACACTATTCTCGGGTTCGGGAATCTGCTATATTAGTAGTAAAAGCAGTAGAGCATATTAAGGGCGAATTTCACAGCTGCATCCGAGTACAGAGGAAAAAATCCGAAGATCTTCATGAATGATGAATTAGTGGAAGCGAATCAAACGAAGAAATGGAGAATTCCAATGTGTGATGGCGAGAAATAGAAGAAGATATAAGGTCCTATCCTTCCCTGTAATTACAAAGTACGCATAGCGTATCGATTAACAAAGATCTACGATGTATACAATCCCTGGTTTATTACCACTCTCATTGTTGGTTACCCTTAACCTTAACCTTCACCAACAGTTGTCATACTTATTCTAGAATGATGAAGAAACACAAGATAGACCGAGCGAAAGTCACTGTATAAGTTGAATGTGCAGAAAGTCACCTCAATTTTACCATAACCTATGATCTGAGGCAAATCATACTAATGACTATTCAGCAGTGTATGCTTTGTCGACGGCTCGGTGGAGGAATGTTACATCTTTTTCAGGATTCTGTAAGTAGGATTTACTGAACGTGAATGATGACGGACCGCATAACTGATCACGTCGCCGCCTGGTAAGCTATTGGTTTTGAAATTTTATAGTATCTCAACTGCATTTTTCGCAATGTTATGATGTTTCGTATATACCTAAGAGAATCGAGCGGTGAGCAAAAACACGGCCTCAGGCGGGAATTGAACCCCTATTTCATCCATACCGAGAATGCGTGCTCTACCACTATACCACCTATGCACATTTGCACCACCACTCATTTTTCAGCATCTCTATGTTAGCTATCATCCACCAACCTTTGACAGGTTTGGCCGGGTATGCGATTTCGCTCTATAAACCAGTTGAGTTGACAGCCATTGCAATAACTATTACTCAAGACTTCTAGTATTTGAATTGCATTTTTCGCAGCGTTATGATGTTGTTATATACCTAAGGGAATTGAGTGGTGAGTAAAAACGTTAGTATTAGTTATTGCCATGGCTGTCAGTTCAAATGCTTTACATAGCCAAATCGCATACCTGACCAAACATGTTGAGGGTGGGTAGCTGTAGCTATCATAGAGATGTTGAAGAATGATGGTGGTGCAAATGTGCCTCGGTGGTATAGGTGTAGTAGCACGAGTCCCCGGTATGGAAGATACGCAGGTTCGATTCCCGCGTGAGGGCCGCGTTTTTGCTCACCACTCAATTCTCTATTCGTTTTGCTCAAATCGTGTCGTAATTTCACAAAAAAGGAGGATACAACGGTAGCATCAGCTGCACCTTTTCCAATGGACAGCATCTGACACCTTCTATAAATAACCGATTAATTTGGATGCCAAAAAGGGAGAACTGTCATTGCAGTAAAACAAAAGATCTCAGCCATAGTAGATCACATAGGCTCGTAGCACTCTACCCAAAACAGCAGTCTTATATGACTCATATCACGGGTAATAACGAGGCATTCCTCCCTGCCGTTTATGGTTGGATTGGTGGTGTTGATCCAAAGTACTGCTTCCAAATTTTTTCGCGTTGATGTTTTTGTTTCTGCGCAATGATGGTGACTACGATCTCAAAATCAACTCCGTCATGTTTCTGTGCTCGATCCAATACTTATCGACTGTGATTTGGTGTGGAACCTCTACTGCTAGACGGACGCTGCGGCTTTTGTGTCAAACCTTATCAGCAACACGTGCTTTTCGCTCTAACCCTATATGCGGGGAATCGGCTCTGAACATGCTACACTGCATGCGAGTGAGAGATCACCCGAGAAGCAGTGGTTTACATTTTCATGTGTAAATCCTAAGCTGTGTTTTCTGGTGTAGGCAAGCAAAATGTGAAGAAAACAGTTATATTATTGAACTGTTTATAACAACGGAATTCAAACATCGGTGTCTTAGCAGGACCTTCCATCGGTAACACTGCTTTGGTTTTATTGACCATAGAGACCCGTGTTGTTGCACAGCGCATTCGAGATACATTTACTATTGTTTCTGCCACCGCATCCACTACATGGTTCTCCAATATTGTAGAGCGGAACACCAATATTGACACGTCTGAGTTATTGAAAGGTTACGTTATAAGGAATCAATGCGATTCAGTTCGAACACTTACGGTGGTCCGTACATGCACACAAATGACAAATTTCGAATGCCACTAGCATCGCAAACATGGAATGCACATCCAAGCTTGGTCGTTGCTGCATTTGCCATCTTAAAGCTTTATAACAATATTTTAATCTAAATAAATCAAAGTCAAACAAATTGCCATCTTGTTATATGTTAGCGGGCTGAGAAGAAATTAATGAGAACGCTAAATTTGATTTCAAACTCTCTCCTCACCCCTACATGAATACTGTGCTTCTCACCATGGTTCATTTCTACTGACCTTCAGCGATCCTGCCTGAACATAAGCGCAACTAACCTGAAGGAATGGAATTTTTGATGTATCGTTCTCAGTTGGCGTCAAATTTTGTAGGGGCTTGGCAGAGTTTTCTCTTGTTTTAAACCACATATCTACCTGAAAGTGCAAAATTGATGTGCGTATATCTAAACTACTTGCATTCTTACAACAATGGGAAATCAATCTATATTGTCATTTCTTAGCTAAAGTTTGAAGCGTTGAGGAGAGGTACAATAAAAGCCTCTTTCTAGAGCTCAATTGTATTTCACAACGATTTTGAAATATTTGTTTATGTCTTCAGAATGAGGAAGACATAAACACGAATATCAAAGAAGGAAAGTATCGCTATGACTCACTATATTCCAGATTTCAACAAAGTGTACGTCTTTGGAAGAAGAGATATCGCTGTTGTAGGGACCATTGTAAGCAGTTGTGAGGTTGTTGCTACCAGTGAAATGGAAGTCGGGATCACTTTTGTGATTACAGTTCAATATGGCCAACTCAAGAGAGGCATTCTCCAAGGTGCAGTCATACTCCTATGAATGTAACATAAAAACCGATCTCTTTGCAAGAAAAAACAGCTCTCAAAAGCAGCTTTTGTTATAAGGTTAGCTTACTCATTAAACAGCGTAAGTATCAATTTCTCCTTGAAAATCAGCTATGTTATTAGCTTTTTGTTAAAAGAATTTTTCACTCACCAAGTAGCTCATGTCACTTGCACCTGGGTAGCCGCCTATGCTTCCGAGTGCTAAATTTCTTCTAAAAAAAGTTTTGTTTATATAAACTCATGTAGCCGTTTAGACAATGATGGCCATACAAAAAATTGGTGAGCGCGATTGTAAACGGACCTTCTATCGTTGTGTTGATCCCTGGCATTTTTTCTCAAACCGGCGTCATGTTTGTTCCATGACAAAGAGGTGGTTCTACGAGGAAAGATGAATAGTCATTAGTGAAATTAGGTAGGAAGGTTTGAGGAGGAATAACTGCTAGTAAGACAGATACTAAGAAGCACCTACCTGGCAATGGATTGAGATGCGATCCTAAGATGCTGCATTGTACTCCCTGAAATCGTTTTATGAATTTTTGGCATTGTTGGGACTTTACTCAATAAAATATGATCGCTTCTCCTGATAGAAAAAGGATCCACGTAGATTATAAGGTACATAGACTTCCTTTCAATAGGTTTTTTTGAAACCTCGCTTAGAGACTGAATATAGTCGTTTGGAATGTTTTGAGCCTTTCCCGAGGTCTTGAGGTCTGGTAGGGCACCTCCAGTGATAGACTTACGTTTAGGTTTTCTCCTAAGCATTATCAATAGCATTTCAATCGGACCAGCTCTACTATACGGGCTACCAACGCCGAACATGTATCACTTCACTTCAAGTGAAATAATTACTTCATATTGCGTTCTTTAAGAGTGATTGATTGGCGACTACATGGCGTCCTGACATGCCCAAAATATTCTATCAGACTGTACTATATTTTTGAGCAATGTCTCAGAAAAGTTGATTGGATGGTATCAAATATGCCCATGTAAAAGCCGTTCGCTTTGAAATCAATATTCAATCACTTTGAAAGGACGTAACACGAACTGATCTTTTTACTTGACAAGGAGTGACACTTTTTCGGCGTCGATTCCCTACAAAAGTAGGGGTGAGCCGAATGGCACCTTTTTCTGATAAGGCTTGAGAGAAAGCCGAAACGTACGATTAGCATTAAAGGTGTCATATCAGATCCCGAATGACTCAAAACATTCTGTCAGACAATACTTATAGTTTAGAGTTCTTCTGAGGAGAAAATCTTAGAAAAATAAAAGCAAAAATTAGTTCATACTTTCGAAAAATTCCACAGTAGCGGAAATGCCGAAAAAACTAGTAATGCTGCAGTAGGCATTAATTTGTCTTTCTGAAAAAATTTCAGTGTTTATGGAAGGCCTCAAAGAGAAAATATTTGAGGAGAAAAGGACGTTGAGCGGTTAGAGCAGAACGGAATCATTCGTAAACAGAGTAAGAAAACTATCACCTGGGCGGTGAGATTCAATAAACCGTTATCATCTTTATATCTATCTACCATAGCTCGCTCGATATTCAATAAATACTATTAATAACACCTCGGAGCGGCTAAACAGAAGAAGATACTGAATTATTCAAACTATGCCGAGGTTAATAGATAGTCGGACCTGGGATTTATTGCAAACTTCAGTATAGATACCCTAAGGTCAGACATAGCATCTCTAATTCAAGCAAATCATAGTAGTAATGGGCGAAGGAGATCCAGTGACAGAACGAAGAAATGAGATCGGGCGATGGTGACCTTTACGAGTCGTATGATGGTAAGTACGAGTCGTATGATGGTAAGTGTTAATGCTATGGGCGTGATTGATACCCAAGTGATTTGAGAGGCGCAGGGTCGAGCCAAGAAGCAATACTATCGTGCCCGGTGACGTGCCCGGTGGTCAAGAAGTATGAGTGTGGGGCTAAACACGCCGGCCCTTTGTCAAACAACCTGAGGTATAAAATATTACCTTACAGGAATAATTAGTTTGAAAACAAATACACAATCAACATGAGACATTATGAAGTGAAAAATAGAATATCAATAGAGTAGTCAAAACCTATCACCGTATTCAAACACCTCTTTCTTACTAGATGTTACGTCAGTAGTATTACAGTTTTTTTTCAAACATCGGGCTTAACGGTTAGAGAAAATTGGCTGAGAATAAAAAACAAAGGAACTTTGATTTTCTATAGTGACCACTGGATATGCTTAGCGGAAACTTCGTTCAATCTCTTCTTTGTAATTTCACCTCATTGACCTGAATCTCATGAAATTTTTAAAGATTAATCAAGATTCTTATGAACATATCAACCTAAGCATGTAGTGAACGTCTTTTCATTTTTGGTCCTTTTCATAACATTTCTGATCATTTCAAAGTTATGCCAATAACAAAAATCACTGAGTCGTTGAATTTTTATACACAAATTCTATTACAGTGACCGTGTTGCTGATAAGGTTTGACACAAAAGCCGCAGCGTCCGTTTAGCAGTAGAGGTTCCACACCAAATCACAGTCGATAAGTATTGGATCGAGCACAGAAACATCACGGAGTTGATTTTGAGATCGTAGTCACCATCATTCACTCTCTCTACAGCACTGACCCGGTTCAGCGGGAGGCCACCGCGAGTCTTTGTAAAGGCCAGATATGCATTCAATCACCTCAAACGAAGTTAAAAATTGAAGTCGAATGCATGGCGCATCCCTTAGGGATTGATCAACGTCGAGAGCTTTATCCTTTATCCTTTTATGGTTAGGACTATCAAAAAGATACCACCAATGCCTCCGTAGTTTTGAATATTAGTG